GTGCGGTGTGTTAAACATCGCTACTTGGGAGACAAAGGCGGCCGGGCGTGGTACTGGTCACCCACCCCCTTCATGTGTGCCGTTCCGGCCATCATAGGTGCTCGCTAACAGCACTTGCCCCATATAATCTGTTAAGGCTACACGGGGGATCTTTGTGTTTGCCTAGGTTGCGTCTGACACACATCAACAGCGTCCCTAGGTCAGCTTAGCCTTAAATGAATAATTGGCACGGTGTGCACTACACCAGCACTGGAGACGTTCTGTCCACTCCACCACCCTCGTGCACCTGAATAGGAGCACGCCAACACCACTCCACTCTGTAAGGACAGGGGATCGATGTTTGTTTGTGTGTGTGTGTATGTGATTATGTCTTTGTGTGTGATTATGTCTTTGTGTGTGTGTTGTCAACGTGTGTGTTTGTGTGTGTGATTATGTCTTTGTGTGTGTGTGATTATGTCTTTGTGTGTGTGATTATGTCTTTGTGTGTGATTATGTCTTTGTGTGTGTATGTGTGTGTGTGATTATGTCTTTGTGTGTGTGTGTGTTGTCAACGTGTGTGTGGGTGTGATTATGTCTTGTGTGTGATTATGTCTTGTGTGTGTGATTATGTCTTTGTGTATGTGTGTGTGTGTGATTATGTCTTTGTGTGTGTATGTGTGTGATTATGTCTTTGTGTGTGTATGTGTGTGTGTGATTATGTCTTTGTGTGTGTGTGATTATGTCTTTGTGTGTGTATGTGTGTGTGTGATTATGTCTTTGTGTGTGTGCTGGCCACCCATCCTCTCGTGTACAGTGCCGGCCTATCAGCACTTGCCCCAGCAGTCTGTTAAGGCTCCGCGTGTAATCGTTGTCTTTTTGTGAGTGAACATCACCACTGGGGAGACAAAGGCGGTCGGGCGTGGTGCTGGCCACCCACCTACCCCCTCGTGTGCCGTACCGACCTTCATAGATTATCGCTAACAGCACTTGCCCTCACAGTCTATGCAAGGCTATATGGGCAACCTTTGTATGTGTCTGTATAAGGCGGCCTGGCGTGGTTCTGACCACCACACCGCATCCTCGTGCGCCGAGGACGAACGAGGGGGGGGGACGACCTCAATAGGCGCTCGCTGACAGCACCCCAGTCAGTAAGGCTCGACAGAGGGTCTGTGTGTGTTTGAGAGTAGAGAGTCAGTCTGTGTGTGTAATAGTAGAGAGTAGAGAGAGAGCGAGTGAGTCTGTGTGTGTGAGAGAGTAGAGTGAGTCTGTGTGGGTGAGAATAGAGAGCAAGTGAGTCTGTGTGTGTGAGAGTAGAGAGAGCGAGTGAGTCTGTGTGTGTGTAAGAGTATAGAGTGAGTCTGTGTGTGTGAGAGTAGAGAGTGAGTGTGCGTGTGAGTGAGGGTATAGAGTGAGTCTCTGTGTGTGAGAGAGGTAGAGAGTGAGTGTGCGTGTGAGTGAGAGTAGAGTGAGTCTGTGTGTGTGAGAGTAGAGAGAGAGTAGAGTGAGTCTGTGTGTGTGAGTGAGAGTAGAGTGAGTCTGTGTGTGTGAGTGTGAGAGTAGAGACAGAGAGAGTGAGTCTGTGTGTGTGTGATAGTAGAGAGTGAGTCTGTGTGTGAGAGAGCAGTGGCTGCGTGCGTGAGTCTGTTTGTGTGTGAGAGTAGAGAGTGAGTCTGTGTGTGTGTGAGAGTAGAGAGAGAGTGAGTGAGTCTGTGTGTGTGTGAGAGCAGTGGCTGCGTGTGTGTGTGAGAGTAGAGAGTGTGTGTGTGTGAGAGCAGTGGCTGCGTGCGTGCCCTCACTGCAGATGTCTCTCTCTCCGTGCGTGACGCATTGATGAGCCGCCAATATCCCCGTGCGCATTGCTCACGGCACGGGGTGGGGTGGGTCGTGTTGGTGGGTGGGTCGTGTGGGTGGGTGTTGTGGGTGGGTGGGTCGTGTGGGTGGGTGTATGTGGGTGAGTGGGGTGGGTGGGGTGGGTGGGTTTGGGTGTGGTGGGTGTTGTGGGTGTGGGTGGTGTGGTGGGTGGGTGGGTGTGGGTGGGAGGGGTGGGTGGGTGGGTGTTGTGGGTGGGGTGGGTGGGTGTGGGTGGGGTAGGTGGGTGGGTGTGGTGGGTGGGTGGGTGTGGGGTGTGGGGGTGTGGTGGGTGGGGTGGGTGGGTGGGTGTGGGTGGGTGGGGTGGGTGTTGTGGGTGGGTGGGTGTTGTGGGTGGGTGGGTGTTGTGGGTGGGTGGGTGTTGTGGGTGGGTGTGGTGGGGGTGGTGGGTGGGAGTGGGGGAGGCGTGGAGCTGCGCCACGAACCCGACGACCCCGAGTTCGTTACCGGCTCACGGGCCACTTGGCTGGGTGACGACTACCTGCAACTGACGACTATCTGAAACCACTCGTGGGCCTCCCCTAGGTTGACTCAGCCTCAAATGAGTCTACGGTGCGCTGGTGTAAGCATTGGCACCGGGGCAGGTAGCAGCGGCCGTGCGTGGTGCTGGCCACCCACCCACTCGGAGCTGTACCGTCCCGGCCTTCATAGGTCCTCTCGAGCGGCTATACCGGGGGATCTTTACCTTTGCGAGGGTTGGGGGCGTATGGGGGGAGTATAAGTGAGGGCGGGAGAGGTGGTCACACAGTGGCGAAGGAGGTTATGAGATGGTGGTGGTGTTAACTGTTTCAAGTTCATTTGTTTAACCAGGTGGGAACTCCAGGGAACATGATGAGTCTCATCTGCCAGTCAGGAGGGCGATGATTCGCGAGCACCTATTAAGGGTGGCATGCAACACACACACACAAAATCAAATGTCTGCCGTGTAGCCTTTAATAGATTGTTGGGGCAAGTGCTGTTTGCAAGCACTTCATAAGGATGGCACAGCACACTAAAGACAAATACAAAGATCCCCCTGTGTAGCCTCCACTGGCTATTGGGACAAGTGTTGGTAGCGAGCACCTATGAAGGCCGGTACGGCACACCATGGGGTGGCCAGCAACACCCCCCCCCCCGACCGCCTTTGTCTTCTCAATGCTGATGTACCAGGCACTCTTTTAAGGCTGAGTCGACCTTGGGTTCGGCCCAGGACCGGTTCAAATATTCGTCACTGTTGTATGTTGAACTCCTTTCGCACCGTCCGTAGCCAACCGTGCTAATCGGAGGTGTTTGTTATCGGTAAAGAGAGGGAATCGAACTCGGGTGGTCGGGTTGGTGGCCCGGCGCGCTCGCCACTACACTGCCGCTCCCCGCGTGCATTAAGATGAGGACTGCAGAACACTGTACACTACTTCATAAAAGATTTAGAGATAAAATTGCTACTCCATTACAATAATGTGCAGACCAAAAAATCATTCGATTTAACCCTTTTGCCGCCGTAGCAATGTGAGTAGATAAATGCAACAATTAAGCGTTTTAACGTCACTTGTTCTTTTTTTAAACCAACCACGCACATTGACCACCGACGCGGGGGAGGAAGCCTTCCATACAGCAATAGATTGAGAAAGGGTTGTAGATTCTGATGCCACGTGCTCATTTTCCCCCGTTCCCCAGGAAGGACGACCCCTTGAGTCTTAAGACTCATTGTTCAAGAGCCTCCTGCTAACATTGCGGGGGGAGGGAATAGTCGAAGGGAACTGGACTCAAACGCGAGAGAGATAATAAACTCAACGGTTCGCTATTCAGACAGGTTCACGATCCTACTTTCTGCACTGCACTTCTCTGGCCAGGACCACAGGCGTGAATGGCTACCACGGTCTCAGATCATTATCACCTGCATCCATGTGCATAAGGATTCGAATAATAATCGTCGTCATCATCTTAATCACTTGGATGGCCACGTGTGCGTGCCACCACCTCACCTGAGAGCAGTGGTTCGTCTTCTTATCCAGGGGGGGCACGCTACACGCTGCACCACCCTCTGGGGGTGCGAGATGCCCTTTATGGGGGTGTGAGACACAGCCAGATTGTTTGAGGTCAACCATCGAAACACAAATTAAGCACGGGCCCGTAAATACAACCATTTTGTTGTTTTATCAAACCCAATGTATCGGGTGGTGGCGGGTTTTAACGACACATATTTACGCGATCTAACCCCCCCTAAAAAACCTCTATTATTTATTAACATTATAATCATTTTTACGATTGAGAACCAAAGGGGCGCAAGGTTGCAGTCAAGGTTAAGAACCACGGCCTTAGAGTTTATCATTAATCATCAATATCATCATCATCATAATAACATCCTGGTTGGTAATCATTATCCATCCTCATCATAAATCGCATATCATAGCCACTGGGACGAATGGCTCAGCGTTCGGGAGCGGTCGTGGATTGACTCAGCCCATCATCCTTCCTCTGGGATAAGTAAAATAGGTACCACTTTGTGGGCAAGTCAAATGTGATTGTCCTATGGAAAGACTCGCCCCCGTCATAGTAATGTGGAATTTCACCAGTGGCTCAGGAGATGAGCAGCGCCTCGATCCTCATCATTTGAGCAGAAATTCACGTGAGCTTTTAATTTTAATCATCAGCATCATTTTTAAAATTGTTTTATTATCCAGTCCATCTCCACCACGCGGACGATCGCAAGCGTGTAACCACGACACCCGCTCTTAACCCAACCTCTTTGCTCCACCCTCTTCTCTTCTGCCACTCTCATCTCCAGTCCAACCCGCACACCGCACACACCCCGTCTCCTACCCACCCCTCCTCCTCCTCTTCCCCCCACTATATCCACCCGCCCAGCCCAAACCTTCCCAATCATCATCATCACCAGCACCACCATCATCGTCTGGCCACATAGGCGGGCGCGTCGTCGCCTCGAAGCCACGGCGACCGGGAGGCGCCGGGTCGCATGGCACGCGAGTTCTGCGCCACCGCCGCGGACATTGTAGCCGGGAACGCCGAGCGAAGCGCTCGTGAAGGTCGCAGTGCGTCGCACGGCCGTAGCCCGGAGTCCAACCTCTGCGCCAACACTGCAGGGGTCCGCGGCGGCGGTGGTGGTGGTGGTGGCGGCGGCGGTGCAGGAGGAGGAGGCTGGTGGTGGTGGCGGTGAACTCCAGGCGGCGTCATTCGCGTGCGCGTGCCTGACCGCGGCTCTGCTCGCTGTCATCGCTGTTTTCCTCGCCGCGTTCCTGTTCGGCGTAGCCGGCGTGGCCATCGGCTGGTTCTCGCGCTCCGCCCGAAGGCGTCGCTCATGCGGAGAAAGTGAACCGCATCATCATCATCATCATCAGCAGCAGGAGCAGGAGCATCACCATCAGCACCATCATCAGCAGCAGCAGCAGCAGCGGGAGCAGCAGCAGCAGCGTTGTGAACGTGAATTCTGCAAGCGCACCAGAGCAACGCGATCTCGCTTGCCGGAGAGAGGTGAGCCCGATTCTTTATTGGTTTCATTGCCTGCTAAGTGTTCAACCCGGCCACTGTTATGATTTTTTTACGTGCTTAAATTTGGCTGCTGCTGCTCATGGTGGTCATGATGATGATGCTGATGATGCTGCTATAGCCGACTCACACGCGCAGAGACAACATGGACGGCAGCTGTTGGTCAGTCGACCTTTCCCTGCCTGAGCCTTTACGTAAATATTCAACCCCCCCCCCCCCTCTTCATTCGCATTGCAATTCTTGCAAACGAAATGTGTTTTTGTTGCTGTGTACGTATGGGCGTTGCTGCTGTTGCTCATGCGCATGCGGATGATGATGATTTTGCAATGGGATGCGAAGGAAGATGGTACATTCCGGTGGAATGCGTCCTCGCGAGCTGTGTGTTTGTGTTTTATGATTTACGTTGCCCCCCCACCCCCACTCTGTGTGGATATGAGAGATTAGCTCATTAAAATTTACGAGAGTGGGCATGTGCTTGCGTGTGTTTTTGTGCGTGAATGAATAATGCAGCCATGGTGATATTAGCTCATACGTCATAGACATGCATTAGCGATCTTGTTGTTCAAAAAGAAGCAGGCAAATTGAGCAGCACATTTATACACGTAACCCCATTCACAAGCAATGTTTAATCATCGGCCATTATCAATCCACTGCTAGATGAAGCCCCTCCTCCGTTTGCTGTCGCAGTTTCTCGCGCGGTTGTGCGGGGATCCATCCACCCACCAGCACACGCACATCGCTCCATCTCCCTGCTGGAGGTGCTACCAGCCTGTGTGTAAACAGGGGCGGTCCAAAAGGCTGGACGCATGGGGTCATTAAGCTGTATTCATTTCGACAGATCACATATGGTTGTTGAATTTATTTCAACGGATGTGCAAATCGACTGCCACTTGACACTAATGCGTAACGCATGAATTATCTTCCGGCGATAATTTTAGGATCTTTTTTCTATTAACGAATGCAGCTGTGTAATCTCTGAGCCTTCGTCGATTATGATTTGACGCCACAACGACGGAATTGAGGCGATCCCACAGTAAGAATCAACACTAGATATTGATAATGATAACTAGGCATTAAATATAATAGCCGCTCAAAAAATCTACAATTTAAATATTCTAATGCAAGTGTGAAAATAAATGAAATAACACCTTTTGGGCCACCCGGTATACAATTATCGTCCTATTAAAATGTAATTTGTATGGCTTAATTGCACAGGTGTGCTGTTGGTGGACCTGATTAAGCTCGCTCAGGCTGAGCAGGTAACGGGAGCGCGTAGGTGGAGTACGAAAACGCTTCATCGCTACACACCCATTACTCATTCCGAAATCCATTTGTCATCACAGCTGAAGTCATCATCACCATCATCATCATCAATAATTCACTTCCAAATACAGTAAGGCGTATCTGTTATGAGTCACTGTTTTCGCTCCTTTATTGGTTAATATCAAAATGTAATCATCATAATGCAGCCATGGTCCATCCACTGCTGGATGAAGGCCTCCCCAATCCATCGCGGCACCTGTCACAACCCTCCAGCGAGGTAACGATTCAATTCTAGATTTGAAGCTTTCGTGACTGCAAGGATTCATATTCTTAGGGTTTTTCGGTAAAGTCACGTAGGTAAAAAATTCAAATTAATAAAAGTAATTTTTTTTTTATAAAAGTAAAATTAAAATAAAATCAAATATTTTATTTTTATTTTACTTTGATTCATTTTAACTTTTTTACCTACGTGACTTTACCGAAAAAACCTAAGAGTAACGATTCAACCCTGCACCTTGCACACTGATTTCGTAGCTCCATCTCCGCGATGGACGCGTTCCAACTCGTGAAAGAATCACGTGGATGGAGGCAACTGCTTGATCATGGCTCGCAATGATTATGATGCGTTGTAACCAAAACATGTTCTGCAAATGCAGGCGTGTGACGTCGTCACTTGCCTATTACCCACCACCCCCGGCCAGAATGGTACAGGCAACACGCACACAGATTGTAGGGATGTTGGAATGTTCCAATCGGTGAATAGGGGTAATATTTTTTTTCTTCTTCTTGGCTCTTTCGGTAAAGTCACGTAGAAGGGAAATAATAAAATAATAAAAATAATACATAATACATTTTTATTTTTATTATTTTATTACTTCCCTTCTACGTGACTTTACCGAAAGAACCAAGAAGATGAATCCCTGCAGTCACGAAAGCTTTAAATATGGGTAATATTAATGAGTGGTCTGGGTGTCGCTATAGTCTATCTTTGACGTTTCAGCCACAGCACATATTTCAAAGAATACATCATTAATATTAAACATATCTCAACATCAATACGATACAAATGATATGTTCTCAACCGAATTGCCCTCAACGCAGCCCATCTCGCTGTATCTCGACCTAAAGCAGGGTCGAGACTGGTGTTAGTACTTGGATGGGAGACCACCTGGGAATACCAGGTGTTGTAGGCTTCAACCTGCGAGGTGGTTGTGAGATGTCAGTACGGTCGTAAAATCCTGATGATGATGATGATGATCGCGAGATTTAAATGAATTTGGGAGAGAGAAAAAAAACCCACAAACATTATTGTTACAATTATTCTCTAAAATATCCCTGTCCTGTCATTTGCAGATTCTCCCAGTCACAGGGCTATGACTCCTCCCGACCACGAGGTGAGTTCATCCAGTCACAATCATCATCAACAGCCATGCTCGGTCCGCTGCTGGATAAAGCCCCCCCCCCCCCCTTAATCAGCACTCTAAATAGACCCCAGTCGACCCGAGTGCGATTCCCGCCCCACGCTGGCGTATAAGTGGTGAAGTATGGTCAGACATTCCCATTCACGTGGCGGGGGAAGGGGTAGGGGGGTAGTGGTAGTGGTGGTTTCATCCAGCAGTGGATTGACGAAGGGGCGGTAAACTACAATTGGTATTAATGACACGATGCGAGAGGCCCTTTTTTTACCCGAGGCACAAAAAAGAGTGAATTTGGGATTCTTAATTGGGGGTCAGATGGTCTGAGCAAAATGTGTGTTGTGCACCCTCCTTCACCCGACAGCTAATCAATAGCATGGTCACGTGATGAACAAACGCGCCAATTAATTACCGCTTCAACAGCACCACCGGGATTATTGGAGAGCCATCCACACACACACACACGATTGAACAATTTGTTGCTACGCTTCGCTGGTAGTTACAACCAGCATCATCAGGCCGGTGCCAGAAATCTAGATTTCTGACGGCGCGTATGTGGTGCGCGTGTTAATCTACAAACCCGGCGACCCGAGTTCGATTCCCGCTCATGGTGAACACCAGTGACGATTACTTGGACCAGTACTGTGCCTCCCCTAGGTTGACTCAGCAGCGCCAAATGAGTAACCTGATTCGGTGTGTGAACATCGCCACTGGGGAGACAAAGGTGGCCGGGCGTGGTGCTGGGCACACACCCCCATCGTGTTCCGTGCCGGCCTTCGTAGGTGCCACTCGTCAACAACAGTTTCTACATCAAGGGCTAGCATACGTACTGTTCGTTAAACTTCTTTCGCACCGCACGTAGCCAACCGCGCTAAAATCTACCCCCCTTGCCCCCCCCCCAATCCCCTCCCCTGTACACCGGGTAGGTGGAGAAGGTCAACCCGCAGGTTCGGAGCCCCCGGGAGGCGCAGGGCCCCGTGGGCCCCGTGGGCCCCGTGGGCCCCACGGACACCGGCGTGGGGGCGCTGGGCCTGGCCCCGTCCCGCGTGCGCAGGCGCCGGTTCGCTCCACGTGACCGCACCTACCTGGCCTTCCACGCCACCGCCTCCCCCGACACCAAGGTGAGCGAGTTCCCCCACGCCCACTCACCGCGCACCGGCGTGCGTAGGTTACTAAACTAAACCCAATAAAAACTTTCTTCCGCCATTAGAACCTCATTTGCCAGTAAAAATATGATAATTGGTTTTTTACCCTTCTATTGCATTATGACTGCAGGTATTGTGGTCTATGTAAACATGACTCGTTGTAAAAAAAGGTGTCAGTTTTGTTGCCAGATAGGGTAAAAAAACAATTATCATAAAACTTTATTTTTTTATTTCACAGGTTGAGAAGGCTCACTGAGCCATGTCGCTCTTTTTCAGAAGCGACCTCGACAAAAAATGATAGCTCAACGAAGTGGCCTCTCGTCACATGGAAATTTATAGCAGCCAAATACTCGGAACGCGTGATGTTGATTCTAAATGTGGAGGGGAAAAACTGGAGAAGCTGGAGAAAAATCCACGCGACCACAGGAAGAGCGTGCAAACTCCAAATATACAGCAGGCGTCAGGGTCGTAATTGAACCCACGACCTCCTGTATACCAGGCGCGGTAGTTAACCTCTCTTCACCGTGGCACCTAGAGTGGCGAGACCTTACGGTGAAGGTAATGGTGCAGCCCGGACGATTTTGATGAAAGGGGTTTGCCAAATATCCCGATTTTTACAGGGCCACAGAGCTTGGGCACAATTTTGTTGCCGCGCATGTACGTGGGTATGTTGAACTTTTTTCGCACCGTACCTAGCCAATCGTGCTAATTGTAGGTGCTAATTGGAGGTGTGTGGTTTCCCGTGCCTCTGAATCGTTCTTTCGCTGTCTCACCCTCTCTCTCGGAGAGTGAACAAATACTGTGCACGGTACACATTCTAGATTCTTATTATCTTGCTCGTACCGCCACTGGCGGAGAAAGGCTTTCACTGGACGGAGATATACTGTACAGAGTCCCTCCTCGAGGTTGTTTGTTTGGCCTACTCTTCCACACTGGTCAAACGTTTTGCTCAAGGTGAGAGTACCTCATAATTTACCCCACCACTAACTGTGGTGCACCCATTCATACTGATGGGTGTTCAGAGGTTTGGGTGGGGGGGGATTTAAGAAACGTATCCCTTTGTCTTCTTGGTTCTTTCGGATAAGTCACGTAGAAGGGAAAAAATAAAATAATAAAAATTAAACTAAAATTATAATAATAATAAAAATATATTACATTATTCTATTACTTATTATATTATATTATTATATTATATTTATTATTTTATTATTTCCCTTCTACGTGACTTTACCGAAAGAACCACAAAGATGAATCCCTGCAGTCACGAAAGCTTTAAATCGAAAAGTATCCCTTTGTTTCAACTGCTGTGCCGGGAGATCGAACCGTTCCAGTGTGCTGCTAATCACGACACCACGGCCACTCTCCCCATTGTGCGCTGGTGGACAGGGCTGCGGTGAGCTGCCATCCCTTCCCTCTGTGAGCCCCACCCACTTTGCGATAGGCACTCCCACTCAGTCACTAGCCCCCCATCACACAAAGCCCCACCCAAACCACCCATGGTGATTGGCTCTTTTTTTGACACTGGCTCCACCCACTTATAAGCCCCGCCTACTCCGCTGCTAACACCGCCCACTTCCCAGGTGGGCCCTCCCCCACGATCTTTGGCGCTTTGTTTTTACTAAGTCGAGCTTGAAGCCACAACGGGGGTTTTTTTTTAAGCCGGGACAAATCCCGATTTGGAGTTTATCATGGGAAGAGGCAGGGCAATGGAAAAATCGAGACCGTGTGTGTCCGCGTGAGTGGATCGATGCAGTGGTTGATATGTAGACGAGCGTGCGGTGATGACAACGATTTATCGTAACGAGTAATAATGATCGGGAAATGGGGAGGTGGGGGGGAAGTTGGTAAGAAAAGTCTCGCCGCTGTTCCCACGTGTGCTGCTAGATTACACGTGACACCCTGGACACCCTTGCAGAACGAGATGTGACCATCCCAGGGGATTCTCCGGATTAAATATTTGAATTGATAACTAGCTGCCTTGCACGTCCTTCAGACGTCCGTCCATTCCTCCATCTCTCCCTCCGGATGTGACGTCATTCCAGCCAGCAAAACTTAAGTCTTCATATCGGATGACAATCATGTCCAGGCTAACTCAAGACCGCTTGAAGCGGAGGGATATGAAAAGTAGTGCCGCCCAAAAATGATAGGTAGTCAATGAATTGGCATAATAAATCTCGGTCCTTTGTCAATTCACTGGTGGATAAAGGTCTCCCCATGCTGTGTCAATCATGGGGATTCTTTGTCAACCATACTTCACCACGCTGGTGTCAGTATACTCTTAGTTCTTTCGGTAAAGTCACGTAAGTAAAAAATGAAATTACAATTAATAAAAAATAAAAACATTAAAATCACGACGTTTTGGAGGCAAAACAAGCTTCCGTCTTCAGGTGAAACTGAAAAATTCTAACAGATAGGTGAAATTCCTCCCCGTAGAGGGTATTAATTCTAGATTTGAAGCTTTCGTGACTGCAAGGATTCATACTCTTAGTTCTTTCGGTAAAGTTACGTAGGTAAAAAATTAAATGAAAATTAATAAAATATAAAAACAAAAAGGTGTCAGTATAGTTTGAAGTCTGGGGCACGAAGCAGGGGGGGGGGGTGTCCCCCAGAACGGGTTATAACATCCCACTCGCCACTGATGTTATCCCAGGGCCGGGAATCAAACTCGGGTCTCTGTGTTAAGAGCGCAGTGCACTCGCAACTAATCCACGACTTCGATCCGAGCAATCCGCCCATCAACGCACGAAGTTGACCCAACGTTGGCATATTTTTCCACGTTGTTAGTCGTGGGTTGTTTCTGTTTGTTTGTATTGCGGTCTCGTTTGCCCGGAAGTGTTCACTCTGTCAGGCTAGAAGTCCCGTTGGCGTTATAATTTTGCGAATGAAATACAATCGGTAAAGCGATCGTCACACGCGCACATCGATGCATTTATCGAGTTTTCTTTTTGCGTGCCCCCTCCTCCTGCATGTTGCTGGCGAAACTGACGAATTGCGCTCTCTTGTGGTCTCCGCCGGAAACGAATATACATCCAATACAGTGGTACCTCGTTATACGTCGTTAATTCGTTCCAGAGGATAGGACTTATACCGAAAATGACGTATATCATTCATCTGAGTCGTTACTTAGCGTGTATTCGCCGTGTACGTGTGTGTGGGGGGGGCGGTAGTGTAGCAGTGCCATGCCACAAACCCGGCGACCCAAATTTGATTGCCGCTCACGGCCAACACCGGTGACAATTAGCTAAACCGGTCCTGGGCTTCCCCTAGGTCGGCTCGACCTCAAATGAGTACCTGTTGCGGTGTGTAAACATTTGCATTGGGGATACAAAGACGGCCGGGCGTTGTGCTGGCCTCCCAAAGCCTCACGTGCTGAGCCAGCCTTCACAGTGGCTCGTTAACAGCCCCAAAGAGGCTGTTACTTTACTCTTTGGTTGGTAAAGTAGGTAAAGAAAATAAATCACGACGTTTCGGACACAACACAAGCGTCCGTCATCAGGTGGGACAACCACAGCAAAAAGCAGCAAAAGGCAGTTGCTGAAATAGGCTTATTTCAGCAAAAAGCAGTTGCTGAACTATGCCTATATCAGCAACTGCTTTTTGCTGTGGTTGTCCCACCTGATGACGGACGCTTGTGTTGTGTCCGAAACGTCGTGATTTAATTTATTTTATTTTCTTTACCTACGTGACTTTACCGAAAGAACCAAAGAGTATGGATCCTTGCAGTCACGGAAACTTCAAATCTAGATTGAATCTTTGTCTGCGGGTGAGTGAATTCCGGCGAGCGGTGACGAAGCGGTTAGCATACTGGGCCCGGGTTCGATCCCCAGCGAGACGGGAGGTGTGAATTGTGGGCCTAAAGTAAAAGCAAGTAGCCGCCCAGATAGCATTCGTTGAGAACGCTTAAGACTGCACGTATAAACGTACACGGATGATTAAGCACATTGGCTTTTCAATCCAGAAGTTTCTGGTTGAGATCTCCCGGTGTGGCACAACTGTCTTAAATCCCTGCCTCCGCCTCTATCCTCCCAACGCTACACAACAGGGCACGTGTGGTGGGGTAAAGTGTGGGTGCTCCCAGCTCTTCTGGAAGAGTAGCCAGCGTGGATGAGTAGGCCAACATACTTCCTCGAGGGCCTTCTGTTATACAGCTCCCTCTAGTGGAGGCCCTACCTCGCCCGGTATGAAGGTGGTCGTGGGTTCGATCCCAACCCTGACGCCTGCTGTATATTTGGAGTTTGCATGCTCTCCCCCGTGGTCGCATGGATTTTTTTTTCCAGGTCCTGCACATTTAGAATCAACATGCATTGAGGGTTCTAGATTTTGAAGCTTTCGTGACTGCAAGGATCCATACTCTTAGTTCTTTCGGTAAAGTCACGTAGGTAAAAATATTTTTATTAATTTTAATTTTATTTTTTACCTACGTGACTTTACCGAAAAAAAACCAAAAGAGTATGGACCCTTGCAGTCACGAACACTTCAAATCTAGAATTACCTTTATGTTACCAGGTAAGCCCTACTGAGTTATAGAGCTCGTTTTTCACAATCGAGCTGGCTCTCACAAATGATAGCTCAACGGAGTGGCTTGTCATCACGTGGACATTTCTAGCAGTCAAATACTCTAAACGCACGTTTCTAAATGTGGTGGGGAAAACCTGGAGGACGCGCAGAAAAATCCACGCGACCACGGGGAGAGAGAGAAAACACGCAGACCCAAAATATACAGCAGGCGTCAAGGTCGGAATCGAACCAAAAACCTCCTGCATACCAGGCGAGGTAGTTAACATCTCGCCACAGTGGTGCCATAGTATACGCTCCATCTCCTCCCGTGATAGCCGAGTCAGCAACCTCACAGATGTCCACTACGACAGTTACGGTATATGACAAACATCGGTTCTGAAATGTCCCCTGGTTCGGCTCAGCCTTAAAACGGTACTTGATGCGGTTTGCAGATAATTGGTGGTAACACGACCAGCTTT